TTAAAGGCGATTAGGCCAAATTACCAACATTTTTCCAACAATTATGGGCCATTATTGGACCAATTAGATGCCCGCTCTCAAATGAAATGCGCAAACAAATTGAAATTGAAAGAAAGTCGTATGCAAATTTGTGCGTAGCAGGTGAGAAGAAGTTGAAGTTGATGGTAGTCGAAGTCGAAGTCGTAGAGGAAGCGGCATTCGCTAGATAAACAAGCCAAACGAGAAGATGCGGGCTTACTGAATACTGAATACAGACTACAGAATATGGAATACAGAATACAGAGGATCGGAGGGGGAAGTGCTATTTGTTTAAGTTGGCTTTAACAGCTTGCGGACGTTCGCCGTTAGTTGACCTGGTTAACTGTCAGTTGAATGAGCGATAGAGAAACGGGGCGGCGGCTTATACTTGTACTTGTACTATCCACAATTTGAATGCTCAAAATTTCAAACAGCCAACAGATGGCCAAAAGGTCGCAACCCTCCGCGTTGAACCCACACAAAAAATGAAATGAGCCAGTAGAGAATATGAAAAAAAAAAATCACAACGCACGTACTTAGGAAAGATGATCAAAGGCTCTCGTCGGGATTAGGATTAGGAGGAGGCGGATTTGGCAGGGGGCGGGGCAGGGGCAGGGGCAGGAGGCGTGGCCAGGCACTGTCATTAGCCAGCCCTCAACCCACTGGAGATGATCATACGATAATGCTGTTTGCTCAATTCACTTCTCTCTCCAGTATTTTGCTACACAGAAAAAAAAATAGCTTACAGGATATGATTAAATCTTAATATAGTCACGTTTATAAGAAGATTTTGTTGTCAGATATTATATATTTTTCCCTGTGTAGCCTTATCCTATCTCTCTCGTTTGGTTGCATGTTAATGACGCACAATTGCAGGCTGCAACATCAGCAACATTGCAGGAGAAAAAACGCATTGGAATGCCAACAATGGCAACTTGGGCCCATTATACTTCAATGGACCCCACGTCTGTCGCATTAGCCGATTTTGTCGATTTAGTTGCGGCTAGTTATACGCCTAGAAAACTGAAAAAAAAACCAACTGAAAAGCCCAACGAAGACAAGCTGGCACCACCTCCCATTTCTGCCCACTCCTTTCTTCTGGTGCGTGGCCCATTGGATTTGTTTTGGCCATGTTTTCTTTTTAGCCATGAGATGAGTGCTAATGATGATGCCTGCCCTACGCTGTTCCCCGGTAATTGACCTTTTCTTTGACGACTCTATCTTTGCCGCAATCTTTCTCTTTCTTCGCCACTTTCATTGTTATCCGAAGTATAAAATCTTAACGAAAAGTACATGACTCGCGCTTAATCGAACATTTCTGTGGTTATTTACTTTAATCGGTAGTTATCTTTTATCGATAATACATATCGAAATTTCTTAGAATTGTAAACTTTCCTTTTGATAAGTGGGATAACTCAGTATTTTCTTTCTTCTTAGCTTTCAATATATTATTGCCAAGGCATGCCTCTCTTTAAAATAGACATTCAACGAGTTTACTGCCAGAATCCCTAGACCTATCGAACTAATCGCCGATTATCTGGAGAGGATGTCTCTACCATTTCCTAATGCCATCGAACGTCTGTCCCATGGGATCGATCAAACAATCGGCGATAATTTTTTGCCTGGGTGAAACTTTTCCACTTTTCGCTCAGGTGTCGAATGGCTTGGATGTGCTGCCTGGATTGGGAAAGTGCGTTGTGTGAGTATTACCCACCATCCTCCCCATTCCCATCGACCAGGTTCTTCCGCCAAATCACACTCAATTGCAGTAGGAGAAGTTGGAGAGTCTGAAATGCTGGGATCGAGAAGTGGGAGCCCGAGTCGGGAAAGCGGTCACATGGAAGTAGGCCAAGTTCTGGCCAACACACATACTTAATCGTACATACAGACACGTCGCCACTGGCGGTTTCGGTTTGGGTTTGGGTTTTGGGAAGCCATGTCAAAGATTCCGCCATTTGGGCCTGAATTTAAGCTGCAATCTCTTGGACTGGGGCATGCAAATCCGTTCAAATGCTGCAATTGGATGTGGGTCAGGCGGATATTCCATTTGGCTGGGTCCACTTGGGTCCACCGATCTTGGACACTTGCTCCCCCGGTTCCTTTTCCCACTTGAGGTTGGGGCCGAGGTGTTTGGGAAGTTGGCTGAAACAAACCAGTTCCCAAGCCATCTTTCTTTCGCTCTTTCCTGTGCCTTTTCTCTACACAGAACATGCTTTTTGGAATAGGTATACCCATGTTTTTTTTTTTAATTTCTTAAACAGAAATCAAAAGAAACCACAGTCATAAACTTAATATTTATGATATGATATCTAAAGGAATACGACTCTTTTCCTATGTAAAGGAATGACCTTGTTTTTTTCTCTCTGTATGTCTCGATTGTCACTTCTCCTTCTCTTTCTCAATTGAGAAAATGAGTTTGTGCGGTTTCTCGGTTCGGTTTCCTTCTCGACTCGCTTTTTATGCCGCTGGTAATCATAATGATGAGAATGGAATCTCGCGTATTTATGCCAGGCATTAATCGGTTATAGGTGCCACAAAGCTGTTCACAGACACCAATTGAAGAGGCACTACTTAGAAAACTGGATGTGTTACCGGGACCCGTTTAATGTGTAAACCATAAATCTGCAGTTCCATTTGCTACCTTTCATTCCGAGTTCGCCATGTTTATTACCTGTAATTTCTCCTGCCTTGCGGTTAAATTTATAAGATGATGCCTGCGCTTAAGATGGTCTCATTAATCGGCCGATTTAACGAGCTAGTATTGCTTTGTATTTTATTTAAGCACTTCTTTTTACACTTAGCTACTCGTATAACATATATTCCCTATCATAGAATCTCGAAATTGGTAGAGTTTTGATTCAATCGAACCAAACAAAAACGATTTTTTCGATACACAAGCTATCGTAAACTAAAGAGTTGCTTCTACTAATTTAATGGGTTTCTTACAGAAATGTTAAATTTGGCAATAAAAAAAGGCACTGATTTGATTTACAGGAAATGCTATTATCGTTTCTTTGCACAGTTTCTCTTTTGCCAATCAACTGTCAATCGATCAGATTCTGTCATCGATTTCCTAAACACTAAGCTTTTACTGCTCTAGTTTCAAAAATTTTCACCACAACTATTTGGTGTTCGTTTTTGTGCTAATTGCCAACTAAATTTTGCTGCTTTCCGGCCTCTTGTCTTTTGCATTTTCGTTCACTTTTTTTTTCAAATGTCACTTGAATGTGGAGCGACCTAACCCAAATGCTCATTATGCACGGTGCAGTGCCAACTGGGATAGCCCCCTTTCCAACGATTTTCCCCTGTTTTCCCCCTTTCACCCACGAGTACGTGCCTTGTCAAAAGGTTTCAACTTTTTTCCCCCACATTTGTCGCTTGAGAACTTTTCATTTTCATTTCCCTCGGACGGAAGGAGAGGAGCAGAAGTTTATTATGCGCATCGCTGTTTGGCACGACCTAAGACAATCTGGCCCACAGAAGACCTGTGTACCAAATTTCCAGCCGAGAAACCACCTCATTCACATGCCACTCAGGCTCCGCTGACTTGGACTTGGACTCGCATTTGGATTTTGGTGTGGCGTTGGACATGGCCAGAGGTGGAGTGGAATCGGAGGCGATGGGAAGTGGGAAGTGGGAGGAGGAGCCGAGATCGTGGCACGCCGACATGTGACTGCGATCTCCAAGAGCTGTGACTTCGTGGGCACAGTGGTTCACAAACTATTGCCAACTGAAAACTGAATATTTTTGAAACAGAATACTCCTATCTACTATTAGAAATTACAAAAAACGAAGTGAAATACATTTAAAAAATGTAGTATTATGGAATATTTGAATTCTACTGATATAGAAAACTTCTATTTTTTATAAGAACTTGCAAAAACCAAACGAAGTACATTTAAAATAAGTATTTTTTTGGAAAATTCGGATTTATTTGTAACTGAATAAGCTAGCTGCACACAAGAATCATTTTACTTCTGTTTCCATTATTTTGCTTACTAAAAACCGAAATCGATTCCATTGTACGACTGACCATTATTGTTGTTGTCATAACATATGCCAAATGAATATGGCCAAGTACAACACCAACAATTGGCAATAGGCAGCAGCAAAAATGGTAGAAAAAGGGAAGTCATGGAAGCAATGGACAATGACAATCGCCCTCCGCCCATTTTATTTATCACTTTTGTCGATATTCTTGACTTTGAGTCCACCTTTAGAGAAACCATAACTCCAAAAACATTGAAAAAAAAATTATATTAAAATCTGTTTTAAAACGTAGTTTTTATCTTTTCTTCATAACAAAATGTAAGACATTCTAATTATTTCCAAAAAATTGTAGAACCATTTTAAATTTCGTATTCAAAGGATTTTTGTGTTTAAAAAAATGTTTAAAACCATTTTCAATTTTTTAAAAAAATCTTTTTAAATAAGAGAACTTGACCATTTTTTCTAGATTTCAAGCTTAAGTATACAAAAATTGTTTAAATTGATCGTTTTCGATTTTCTTCTGTGTATGGTATATATATGTGAGTCATAGATATACCGACATGCATGTTTCGTTTCGATTCGTGAAAACGTGCCTGACATGCAGAGAATTCAATAAATAAAATAAAATGAATTCGGTGAAAGCGAGAACTTTGGGGGGCGGTAAAGGGGGCGGCAGAAGTCGTGTTGCTGCTAATGGCCTCCCCCGTCCGCCCCCTCATAACAACCCACTCCCCCTTTTTGGCATTTTCCCATGGATCTCTATTTTCGTACTTCTTTGTTTTTATGGTTCAAACGCGCCTCACGCTTTGCCAAAAAAAAAAAACCTGACTATCATAAATCAATCAAGAAGAATAGTAAAACAAGAGGAACGAAAGGAGGCGGTCCAGAAAACAATATAGAAACCATCAGACTAATTAAAAAAAATGACGAACGAAAGCAAAAACCATAAACGAAATGGAAATTTCTTTCTAGCCAAACAAATTTTTGCCTACCTGATTTGCTTTCGATTTCTTCTGGGTCTTCAACGTCTTCTTCTGAAAGTACAAACAGAAAATAATAATGAGCAAATTTGTATGTGGGTTGTCTAGGCAAACAATAGAAAATAGAAAACAATATGATATATGAGTCAAAAGAAATGGTAAGCACTTCTTTTGCTCAATTTTAATGAGTTTACAAAAAGGGCCATAAAAAGGCTATCAAACAAATGGTGGGCAAAAAAATCGAGATAAACATATATCCCAATAAAAACCCACATCAGCTTAAAAACCGTTAGCAAATGACACACGACACGTTTTTTTATTTCAAGGCACTGGGGGCGTATACTTAGTATTTAGGTTGCTTATGGGGGTGCACAAGAAAAAAGAGCGGGAAAAAGTCTTTTTGACCGTGACACAGAGATAAAAATGCAGAAGACAGGAAAATGTAGGGAAGGTACAAATTTAGTTGGCGGAAAGAAAGATCATATTTAGAAAAGAGCCAAAGTGAGTGGGAAAATGAGTGAAAGTTAAGTACTTTACATAAATCATGCTTATTAGGGTTACCTCAAAAAAATCAAGAAGGTTAAGTAGTTAAAATCCTCATAGCTTGTTTTCTTTAAAGAAAATTTAACAAGCTCTTTGGAAATCAAAAGTTTAAATATTTTAATTAACATAAACTAAATTGGGAACTATTTCAAAAATCTTAATCCGGTCTATAGAGTTCTTTGGTTTCTCACCGGCTTAAATTACTTTTTGTGGTTCTGGGCAATCATAATCTTCGCCTGCTTCTTCATAAACCCATTTACCCCTGCCTTTTGGCAGACTCATCTCTATAAACAAAGCCCATCAATCTTGTGATCTAATCAAAAGCCACCGATCGAAGCTCGTAGATCACACTAAATTTTTGTGGTTTGCTGCAGTTTTCTACGCGAAGTCTATATCTATACAGTTCTAACGGTAAGTCGCAGCTCATCCATAACATTTTTTGGTTTTTTTTTTACCTTTTTTCGATTGTTAAATCAGGGGGAAGAAAAGAGAGAAAAATAACCGAAACTGAATTGCGTTCGCTCTGCATAAATTGCGGTCCAGAAAAGTCTCCCTGTGGCCAGTCTTTTGGCCACTTTGCAAGTCTTTATAATAAACCAAAAAACAAAAAAAAAAACGGGAGAGAAAAGAAAAAAGTGCAGGGCCAAGGCAAAGAAAAGAAAAATATGTTATGCATGGCAATTTTCCATTTTGAGGCCTCCGACTTTGTCTAATGTCATGTATTATCCGAGGAGAGGCGAAAAGAAGAATAAGCCAAGTGTCCAGAAGGCCAGGTCCATTGTCTTTTCTTATTTTTCTTTTCTTTTCTTGACTTTTTTTCCTCTTTGTGGGCAGGGCGCTAGCCAAAAGTGAAATATTTCAAACACCAAGTCGTGTCGCATTCCCAGAGATCTCTGCCCCCTCTATAAGTCGTATCTTCAAGATGCAGATTGCCATTTTTTTTTCTTTTCTTCAGGTTGCCTTTCTGGTGTGTTTGCAGTGTCATCTTTGCTTGAGTAAACAGAGCAGCACAAATGGAGAAAGGGTTGCAGAGGAGATGGGACGCGAAGAGGCGTCTTCTGGGCAGCGAAGATTTGCATTTGCCCCGCAGATGGATCTTCTTTTGTTCGGCCTTCTCATGTATGCAAATCCCGGCAAGATTTAATGGTCACACACAACGGATATGGATATGGCCAGATGGTTAGACGGTTAGAAGGTTCTTTTTATCCATTCTAATCAATTCAATTACACTTCAAGTCCTTCAGATAATTGCAATGGCGGAGATAGGGTCAGGAAGTTAAGAACATGAACTGAACATAAAGATAATTTGTATGGCAATGGGAAGAGTTCGTCTGAAGGAGTGTAATACCTCACTTCAACTTTGAAGTCAACGTGGAAACGAAGAGTTAAGATTACGAAGGGCTTCCAAAGGTCTTAACTTTAGATTTTCTGTAAAGAAATAGAACGGAGGTTTTTGGCCATCGTACTTTAGGTACTTTGTGAAATCCAATCATAAGAATAGGAATTCATGCTGACTTAGTTATAATTAAATCTATTGGCTTGAATAATAAAGGTCTTATTGAAAACCCTGCCAACTCTTAACATATTGCTACACTCGAAATACCATTGCATATGGCCAACTATAAATAGAAAACCATTATTTTAATATCTGTAGACGATCGTGTGAATATATTTCAAGGACCTCCCCTGGACTTGGTTAGCAAGCCATTCTGCTCCAGATCTCCCGAAATTCCCCATGGGTTTCGATTTCTGTGCTGTACAAACGATGTCTCTTTCTTGGTCCTCTATTTTCGCCTTGTGTTTCCAGCTGCTGTTGATTTTTTTGGCCATTAAATTCGAGCAGCGACGACATTACCCAAATGGCTGACATGGCTGGGACATTGATGATGTGGATGTGGATGTGGACCCCAGAATCTAGAGTCCAGTATCCAGTATCCAGTATTAAGTATCCCGCATCCAGTATCCAGAATCCAGAGCCCCCAGACTAAAGTTCTCCTTGGGGATCGCTTGTGCGATCTTTTGGTTTCTCGTTGTTCGGTTGTTCGGTTGTTCGTTTGGTTGTTTTGGCTTGTTCTAATTGTTGTTTTACCTCGTTCGTTTGGCGTTTGCGTGTGTGATGGGTCGGTATACATAGATATAGCAATGCCTATATAGTGCCTGCATATCTTCTGGCTCCTCCGGTTCGGTTCGGTTTGGTTTGGGTGTTTAACTGCGATTTGAGTCACGTTTCATTACTCGTGATGCCAGACAGTAATCACTTGATTTTCCAAGCGGCTTTCTTGTTCCAAGGAGTTGCTAGTTGCCAGTTGCTCTTGGTGTTGCTGCTGCTGCTGTTGCTCTTGCTGCTGCTGCTGCTGCTGTCACAGACCAGATCAGACACGGAAAGCTGGCCAACTGGCTGGCCAACAGACCTTGGCCAAAAGGTGCTACCAAAAGCGGCAGCAAAATGGCACACAAATCTTGTTAGGCAAGTACAACAGCAACATCACAGCAGCAACATGGATTCTTCACCGGGTTTTAGGGGTATTCTTTGGGGGTCATAAATAGAGCTTTGCACTTACGCTACACAAGAAAAAAAGGGGCTGAAGATAACTCTTTAATAAGTAAATATTGAAGAATAAATATACATAAAGCTATTAACCTGAAACCGATAATCAATGCATTTCGGAATCCGTTTCAATGAGACTTGTGTTTCATACATATTTAAAAATAATATTTATAGGTTATTAATTTGAGATATTGATTTTTCTCAGTGCCACGTGACTCACGAGTTCGTGCCCTCGGAGGATTTGGAGTTGCCAATGGCCAGTTGCTTCTAATTTGGTTTTTATGCTTTGATCTCGTGACGCTTGTCATTGCGGTCACTCGCACATAAAGAGAGCCAGATAAAGTGGGGGTTAAAGGAGGGAAAAGGGAGGGCAAAAAGGAGGATAAAAGGTGGCCAAGGGGAGTCCAAATTGCCGGCGACGCCAGCGATAATCAATTAACCTGGCTCACTGGGCAGTCGCCTTCGGATGTGGCCGAGATGTTGCTGCGGTGCATGCTGCATGTTGCATGTTGCTGCGGGGATAACCAATGGATTCGCCGCTGGAGTCCTCCGCCCCACAAAATCTTCGCCGTTGATGAAGTTTTCCGCTGACTTTGATTGCGGTTGAATTTTCATCGCCACATTTTCCCCCGACTAGGAATTTTTTTTCAATTTTCCTTTTTTGCGGTTAACCTCGAAATGAGGCCCAAAGAAAATTCCGCAATTGCTTTTCACGGAAAAACTCAAGGCGCATTTACATTTCTTCTGGGAGAACGCAACATGTACTTAAGATTTTTTACGCTTTTCCATATTATCCCCGGCTCACTTATAATATTTACAATTATAATTTGGGTGCAGTTAAATCATAGCATTAATGTTGCGGTATATTTTTAGAACATTACCATGGTTTTGTAGGCTATTTGATACCTTAACGAGGTCTAAGTTTCCCATTTCCTTGTGGAGAAAATCGTTAAGTACACATAAATTGTTAACAGATTGTTTGGCGATAAAGCGATTGAAAGTCTGGGCAGATTTGTGGGCGTGTCGTCGGTGGGCGATTTTCCATCGCGTGCGACATTTGACTTGGTTTTCGGCTCTGACTCCTTTTTCGACTCGGTCTTTTGGTTATTTTTCCCAGTACGAGTAGGTCCGCCTTTCTTCCTGCCACTCTTCATCTGATTTTACATGGCACGTACCGCAGATTTGTTTTTCTTTTTTTGTTTTTAACAATTTTTTGTTTGCTGTTTTGTTGTTTTTTGGGCAGAGAGGCAAGAAGGAAAGGCTTTGGAGGCCCAAAAAAGACGGCAGCTGGCCAAAGCCAAGTCATCCGAGTTGGCCTCCACTCTTAAGTAGGTTAATTTTGACCGGTTTGTCTTCGTCTTCTCGTTGTCTCCATCTCTTTTCTCTCGAGTCTCAAGCGGGGTAGACATTCTCAATTTCTCAGTTTGTCCGTGGTCGCTGATGTTCCTGATTGACTGGCGACTTGGGACTGCGGCATTTGCCTGATTAACCCAAGTTTCAGCTGCTTTAATGAGGCAGCCACATGTCGCCTTGATGCTCCCCCCTGGATTTTCCTTTAACAACTCTTGATTATCCCTCGACTTCATTAGAGAGATCTTGTTGTGCATTAGAGAAGCTTGAAAAGTTTGTTATAATAGCAGTCCGAAATTGATAGTAGCTATTATTATTACTATTAAATAACGAATTCTATAAGTACTATTATAATCTATGTAAGCAAAATGAGGCAAGATAAGCCGTAAGATTGCTCTAAAGATCATCCAAAAAGAGATTCTGATTCTAGCAAGCATTTCTCTTTTCTTTATAAGTAGAAACGCGAGGGAGACAGATGCCTAATTCTCGCTGCGAATGAGTTGGCTAAAGACTTGTAAGACCCGCTCTACTCGATAAGCCTTATTTGAGATCTGCGGCAATTTCTTCTTTCTATTTCAGCCTGATGACGCTAATAATCATGTTGCACATAGCG